TTCTGTTCACATTTCCAGTGTTCAGATTTTTGCCAGTGTCATATTATTTGCTGATCATATTATCAGCCTTAATGAAGCCCTTAGCATTTCAAAGAACTTTATTACAACTATCCAAGAAAGCTAAGTATTCTTTGTTAAACAGTTAACATGTCTACTTCACTAAAGCAAATGCTGTTCAGGTAGCACTCACACTCAATGATACTACACTCACAACTTTCTTCATGCTGTGCCAAAATGATCCTTTTGCCCACACACTTTTGTACTCCCAAATGCCATCTTATTATATCTGGAAAGGCAAAAAGGAATGGGTGCATAGATTGATAGGTCAAAATGTACTGGAGCACTCTGGTATTAAGTTTGATAAGTGCCTAGGTAGATGGTACACTGTATATCCCAGCCAACATGAATGCTTTTATCTTCATCACTTTCTTCACAAAGCTTGAGGTTCAACATCCTTCCATTCAACAATGGCTGAGGCTATTGTATCACAATCCCCTGGGAATATTAAGTTGCTCTTTGCAGTCTTATTGCAAACATGCAAAGTAAGTGACCTTGACTCTCTGTGGCATAAGTATAGGGATAGCTTATCTGAAGAATTTAAGCACAAAGCCCAACTCCAATTTCCAAATACGAAATTTACAACAAGGCATTAATTGTTATAGAAAATTATGTCATTTCTATTGGAGGGAATGTGTTACTGATATATGGGTTGCCCAAAAACTCATCAGACTTGGAGTGATGCCTTATCCATAGAGGTGACATCAATACCCTGCATGCATATGTCGATGAAAATGATGAAGGTTGTTCCTGGACTAAAAGAGAGCTTATGACACTATTGTTGACAGTGTCTGCTTCTCCAAAAGTGGAATGTTCTTCCTAGATGCTCTTGGAAGGATAAGAAAGACATTTGTTACTAAGCTGCTTTTGGTCAAAGTTTGACAATGCAAGGACATAGCTTTGGCAGTGGCCTCATCTGGTATTGCTGAAACTTTGCTACCTGGTGGCCGAATTGCACATTCAACTTTTAAGCTTCCATTGGACTTGACTTCATCCGATAATCCAATTTGCTGTATCAGCAAAACCTCTGAATTGGCCCAAGTGCTAAAAAGGTGCAGGTTCATCATATGAGATGAATGTATCATGGTAGTTCTGGAAGCATTGGACCAAACCATGATAAACATTAGGGATTGTCAGTTGCCTATGGGAAGTATAACACTCCTGCTACCTGGAGACTTTAGGCAAACACTGCCAGTCATACCAAAAGGAACCAGAGCTGATGCAGTCAGAGCATGTCTCAAACCTTCTTTGTGTGGCAACATATTTGAACATTGACTCTGAGCACCAACATGAGTGTACAATTATTTGGAGATCAGCTGTCAGCTCAGTTCTCCTACAACATTTTCAGACTTGGCAATGGCAATGTACCTTTAGATGCTAATGGAGATATGACCATTAGCCCAGTCTACAATATTGTCAGTACTGCTGATGAGCTTAAAGCCCAGATTTTCCCAAACCTCCAATGTAATTACAAAAACTACAATGTAAGAGGCTTATGCTCCACAAAGAAAGACCAAGAATATTATCTACCAAGAAATAGTGTAGTGTAAAAACTGTTTAAAGATAGTTCTGTGTTTGAATAAATGAATTTGAACTTATATTGTTGTTATAGATTTATTTTTAATTTTTTAAATCCTGGGCAATGCCGGGTAGAACTGCTAGTATATATATATATATATATATATATATATATATATATATATTAATGTATTACAATTTTTATGGCTTTCCTTCATTCATTATCTTTTGATATTCTGCCAACATGTCTGCTTCTGTCTTTTTATCTCCTTTCTCTTCTCCTCCTCCTCTCATATATATATATATATATATATATATATATATATATATATATATATAGAGAGAGGATATGATAATTTAACTTAGTTTTCTTTTCATTTTTCTCTAATTTTCTTAGCTCCTCCCTTTTCTTCTTTAAACATTTTTTCTCTTTTCTTTGTCTCCTTCACTTTTCTCAATTTCTTTACACTTAATATTATATAAGTTCTTTGCTGAGAAATCTTAATTGATTCCAAATCAGAAAGGCCATGGACAGCTCAGTCTTTTAACTCTAAACCTTAGTAGAAAAATGCAGTGGTCATCATACATACAAATAAAGAGAATAATAATAATAATAATATAGATTTTCAATGTTCTTATTCACTATATAAACTGATGAAATTCATGCTATAAAAATGTTAGTCATGAGGTGGAGTAAATTCCTTTGTAAGAACAGCAGTTAAATGCATTTGTCATCACTCTTATGCTAATTTAGAAGCAAATTTTAAAATATACAGATTGTAATTGATAAAACTGAATGACTAGTAAAAGTAATATTTTCCCTTTATATTTTTAATATATTTTTTAAGTTTCACATGCTTATGAAAGCAATCTAAAATGGCAGTAACAACAAAATAGATTTACTAATAATTTCCCATTTTGAATATAAATCACATCGTAGAAAATATTTTGTATTAGAAAATGCCAAGTTATAGATCCATCATCTATTTTTTTTACTTTGTTTTTTAAATTTAAAATAAAAATTTATCACCAAATAAGAAGCTCTAGAAGTATTTCAGATAACATTGGAAATCTCAAAGTAACTCTAAAGTAAATATAATGTACACATTTGATATTTGTTTAAATATATCAAGTTTAATATACTAAATATTTATTAAATGAATAATATATTAGGCAGAAACAATTTTTATGACCATGATCAGAAACCAGCCTACTCTTGCCTGAGTCAGAGTAATTGTTAGTGGTCTCTTCATCCAAAGTGCATTTTAAAATAATTTAGTGCATTCAGCTGAAATTAATATATATCAATTGAATTTTAAATCTACTCAAAAATAAATGTGACTTTGTCTTAAAACCCACCCACTCATCTTCTTGAGTATCCTTTCTTTTGTGAAAATCTAATGATGTAAATCCCAAAAGAAGTCTAGAAGGAATGATGAGTCATTTTTAGTACTAAACACTTAATTCTTTTCATAAAAGCATTTCTGGTGTTTAGAAAATGATACAAACTCTTTCATTGCTTTTTTATCAGGAAGGTGCTTTATCATTTCTGCTAATGGCAACAGAATGCTTGCCTTGCATAAGGCTATCCAAGCCTGTACACAGTGAAGCAAAGAGGGTCTCTTTGTATACATGCTAAAAATGATTCATTAGATTTTCACACATGAGAGGATACCCAGTAAGAGGAGTTTTGGGATGGGGTTTAAGACAAAATCAAATGAGAAACTTTTCTGCTTGTATACAAAGTAAAAAAATAAAATATCAATAATGTATCTTTAGTGCATTAACCTTTTGTTGGATTGAATTCTTATTAGAATTTTTTTCTTCAGACTGAATAGTTTCAAATAGAAACAGTAGAACTATTTGGAAATAGTTTAGGTAAATTTGCATTTGGATGACTTCCTTTCAAGTTAACAAATTTATTAAGAGCAGATATTGTTTCAAGTTTAAAATATTGAATAATTTGTAGAGAATGTGAATATTATAAAATCAGTTTATTTCATGCATTTTCAGAGTAAAATTTTATTAGTTCATTCTTAACTACTTCATTGGGATATTATATCTGTGTTAAATTGATAGTAAAAGATCTTCATATTGTCAAAATGGGATGATATAAGCACTATATTAAATGTAATTATTACTAATTTCATTATATAGAGTGAAAACAAAAACAGTAAAGAAATTAATATCTGCTATTTTCCAATACAACACAAGAAATAGGACCAATGTTCTAAATAACATCTGATGGTATTTATGATTTTGAATGTTTTTAACAAGAGAAAACACTCTTAGACTAATAACACAATATTTTGTATTTAAAAACTACTTTTTCTTTCTTGTAATGTTGTATTTAAGGATAATTTCAAGTAAGCAATTTTCTTCACTTAGCTGTAATAGCAATGGAAACTGACATAATCAACTTGCAGTTCTACCAAAAGTTTATATAGTCTGATAATTAAGTACCAATAATTTAGGGATAGATCTCAAAATGAGCATTCAGTCTTTATCTTTACTTTGTTTTTATTTTTCTTCCATTTTTCAAGTTTCAAACTGTTCTGCCTAAGTTACTGATAGTGAAATAGTGCTTTTTTATTCCAATTAATGCAATCAGAAATTTAGATAAGTACAAAAGGTTACTTGTTATACAATTGATTTTGATTCCTAATTTCATGGTATATCAAAATTAACAGTTGAATGAGAAATTTTATTGAAGTGTTTAAGTTTTTGGTAAAATTGTGTTTGTGTTTTTGTCTGGAACAATTTATGTTTAGTTGATAAGAAATAAAACAAAAAAAAAATAATTTTGTAAAGTTTTGCTTTTTAAACTCAACATGTTAATTATTTTTTTCTTAAAATAAGCAATACAGTGAATATTCCAATAACTAATAAAACTAATGAGTTTCAAATTATTTCTTGTCCCAATCACTTATTGAGAAAAATATTTTCTTGCTTTATCAAAAGCAGGAAAATATCTTTGAAGTTACCTTTTTGACAAAAATATTTTTAAACAAGAAATATTTTAAAACTTCCTTTTACCTTTTATTAGATTGTTCCTTTTGTTAGATCGATAAATATTTCCTATTTGTTCTTTATCCAATCATTCCTTTTATCTATAAAAGTAACTAATATTTCAGTATTCTTTATGACCTCAAATCCTGATTTTTCACATTTGTGCCAATGTACCACCTAAAATCAACATTTGTTCTTAGGTTTTAAAATTGTCTGTTCATCATTTCCTAATTTGATCCTATATGCTAAACATATTAGTGACCATTGACCATGACATGCCTTAGTACTATAATTATACTGTGTATTAAATATTCATTCTACAGATGTTAATAGATCAGTAAGTTAGTATTAAATTGATATTAAAATATTCCCTTTGATCAAAACATGTCAGTTTTAAAATCTTTATTTTTTCATAGGTGGAACAATGGGACAAACCACTTATTGTTTAATATGTTACCTGGTGGTCCTATGGATTATAGCACTATACTTGATGTCAAAACAGATAAGGCTGTGATTGCTGGTGGAGGTTTTTCAAAATGGACCTACAGGGAAACTTATGATGTTGCCATACCTGTCTATAACCCTCTTGTGGCAAAAATCAAGCTTCCTACACTTCCTGTTACGTAAGTAATTATTATGTTGGATGATTTATTACATTTTTTTTAGAATCTCTTTAACAAGATAATGTAGAAAGAACTTTTTATCAATATTTACCTTTTCAGTATTCTAAACAACATAAGATCTCCAGATGACAGAGTGTTGACACAGAAAGGAAGAACTTGTACAGAAGGTAGTGAAAGAAAGTGAGAAGAAAGGACTAAACATCAATTGCAAAAAGACAGAATGCATGGTTCTTAGCAAAAGGAACAGTCCAACATGCAACTTACAGATTGCATATACTAAAATTATACAGGTGCAACAGTTTAGATATTTGGGAAGTCTATTAACAGAGGATAGAACATGTGGCACAAAAATCCGAAAGTGCATTTTGATAGCGAAAGATGCCTTCCAAATGCTGAACAAAATATTAAGAAACAGAAAAGTATTGTTAGAAACAAAGAAAAGAGTACTGAACTGTTATGTAGTATCAGTCCTCCTATATGGCAGTGAATGCTGGACCATTTCATCACAGATGAAGAAGAAATTTGAAGCAACAGAAATGTGGTTCTACTGAAGGATGTTAGGAATACCATGGACTGTACATGTGGGCAATGACAAAGTTCTAGAGACAATGGCAACAAAAAGGACATTTATAATTAACATCAGAAAGAGACAGTTGAAATTTCTGGGATACATAATGAGGAAAGAAGGCTTGGAAAATTTGACACTCACAGGATATATTGAAGGCAAAAGGGACAGAGGATGGCAACACACAACCTACCTGCCGAGCTTGAGTGAATGTATGGCAGAGATAGGTTTAGGAGAGATGGTAAAAATACAAAAGTTATTAAGAGCTACAAAGGATAAGAAATTGTGAAGAGCCATGATCACCAACATTCTGAAGGAAGAAGATCAAATAATTTCCCTTACTAAAGTGAACATTAACAATATTGCAAATTTTGAAATGATATCAAGGAAACAGTTGTCACTTTTCTCTCACACAAAATCAATGTTTAAGTGACATTGTTGACAAATATCACCAATATTTTTTGTGGTTACTGCTTTAATTTTCACTAAATGTTTTGGCTGCATGTTTTGTTTACTTTTCAATATTTTTTATGATGTAAAAATCATGAAAATGCTATAAAGAAGTTATTTAAAAAAACATAACAATGTAAATGCAATTATTTTGTTTAAAAATTGACAATTTTACTAACTGAGGTTATTCTTTAAAAATGTTGAAATGTTAGCTGAAGTTTAACCATTACTAAGTAAATGAAATTTCACATAGAAGACCCATTTCAAAGATATTCACTTTCATCTTTTGTTCATCTCCTTCTTTTGTGATTCACTTGTTATTGCAACCTTCTTCGAATACAAAGATGTAATACTTTAAAATCCAAGTTTAACTCAGACTACATTCAATTGATTAATGGCTGATCGACTTCTGCAGTATGCTAATCAAAGTTTTAAATACCAATCTCCCGCATCTGTCTATATTTCTGAGATTGTAACTATTTCTATTATTCAAATTCTTGTCCTCATCACATTCACAGCATTTTTGGCTATTGTATGGTCTGGCCGTCTTCAGGTGATATTTGTTGGCCCAGTATATAAAAGCATTGGTTGATTGATCCATAAAGTGACTTGATCCAAAGAGTTGTGAGTTCAATCTCTGGCCTCAGTGGAAAGAACAAAAACATGGATAGTTATCAAGGTAAATTAACTAAAAGTGAGTTATCTGAAGGGATAGTACATGGAATTAGAACAATCTGCCCCCATGGACTAAATAAAAGGTTCAGTTCAAAATTACAACAAATATCACTTGAAGGTGGCATAAGCGTACAATCACTGAAATGTGAATGCGACAGTAAACAACAGTCCAAATAATGTAAATAGTCTAAATACTTATCTTCTACTTTTGTCATTCTCTGTTACTGATATATATTGCTTATATTAATAATAATTCACAATCAAAATCCATTGGAAACATTACTTTCCATACATTCATCAAACTTAAACGAATGCCAAGCCATTTGAATTGATTTAATATTTGTTTTTGTTCTTGTTTTAGAGAAACCAGACGTTGGCTTTTAATTTCTGCACAACCCGGCTTACATCGAGAGTACAGAGAAGAACTAAATCATTTAGCACGTGGAGATGGACGCCTTTTATTACTTGATCGATGTCCTAGTGAAGAAAAACCTTGGAATTTTTCACAAAGATGCCGAGAATCAGTTGTGTATGAATATCCTCATATATTGCAGGTGATTTGGATTTTGATGTCAAATAAAATGTTTCATTTTTTTTTTTCACATGAATACATGTTTATATGAATCAGTGTCTCCCATTAATGTGAAGGAAAATTAGACAACTTGAAAAGAAATGTCATTAACTGTATCAATATTTTATTATAGTTGAATAGAATTTAGCAGAAGTAAGTATTAACTCTTTGGTATTATTGAACTTCCTATCATTTTGAAAGGAATTGACCATCATCATTAAGATAATTTCTATAAATATTTCAAAGAACTACAGAAATAACACAGTCCAAATTTCTTATTGTATCTCTTGCACAAACAGTTTATTTATCACTGTTTAATTTGTGCCTTTAGGCCTTCATATAGAGCTCTTGAGAATGACAGTTTTGCTTGGATATTGTGAAATATAAAATTATAAGAAAAAAATGTCAAAAACATTGATTTTACTGATGCAATTACTTCTGATGGTACCAGTTTAATTTTCTGTATTAAACTAGAAGTCAAAAAACACAACCAAAAAAAATGTCAAATAGTACAAAAATTCTCTGAACGAATAGTACTTTAAGTTTCCCAGTGATATGTAGTAAAAGTAACTTGTATCCCATTAATATAACACCTGTTTTACTTTTGTATACTTTGTATTTTCTGCATATTTGTAATTGTAAAGTTTTAAATATTTTATTAAACGGACAAATCATTTTGGTTGTGTAATGTCATGTTTATTATGCTGAAGAACATTCTGAAAACCTATTTAATGCCAAAGAAAAATAAGAATAATCACACTGACCAAAATTCAAGAATAAGAAGAGGTGCTGAAAAATTGTCAGCTTAGCCCAGTTCCTGAAATCTAACCAAATGACTAAACATTCAATTTTTTTAGAGAATCCTTTCTTGGATGAACCAAGAACTTTTCAGCACTCCATGTATGTGTTTACATGTTTTACAAAGGCAGTCATATTCCTATGGTTACTAAGATATTATTGATTCAATTTAATATTTAGGGTTATTCAATGTCCACTTATAATAAAAAATTATTTGCATACTATTTTTTTTACAATTATTAGACTTTCAATGATTTTTATCCATTTCCTGAGTGGCATCAAATGAAAATGTCTTTTCTATTTGTATATTTTGTTTTAATCTGAAAATCATCTTTTTGAAGTAAATTCAAGTTAAAATAAATTAACCTTTTTTTTTTTTTTTGAGAATTTACTGCACTCTACAGAAATATCTAAGTAAACATGTTGAAAAATGACTCATACCATTAGGTTATGATAGTTGCCATTATAAAAATTAAATTTTGTTAGTAAATAAAAACATTGTTCAACATTTCATCAGTTTGAAAGCTTAAGGCTTCTGTAACATCTAATGTTGGCTTAGAAATATTAAACTGAAATAATTTATTTATGATTATTATATCACCCTGCTTTCCTTGTTGACAATTTCAGAATGCCACATTTTGCTTGGTTATTCGTCGGGCCCGTTTAGGACAAACAGCTTTTAGTGACGCCTTACAAGCTGGTTGTATTCCTGTGGTGGTAGCTGATGGATATGTGCTACCATTTTCAGAAGTTCTTGATTGGAAAAGGTAATTTCTTTTGAAATTGTTTTGTTTAAAAATTTAAACCTTTAAATAAAACAGAATTTTTATCATAAAAATTGCCTGTTTAAATTTTGTGTTTGAAAAAAAATTAAATAAATTTAAGAAAGAAATCACCAACTTATATCTTACAATGCAGCTAATCATCAGAAATGAGCTGAAGAAAGTGGATCTGATTCTTGTGGTCACTATTACTTTAAAAATAGCCCTGTCGCTTGGGGCTGAAGAATCACGGAACCTCTTCGGGGTAAAAATCCCCCAAAGTTTGCCGTGGGTGGCGACCCGTGATGTCTGGGGCCGGGATCCTGGTGGCTGACCCAGGTGATAAAGTGGTCATTAACTGATTCTGATAGACGGGCGGTTCCGATCAATTTCCTGACAAGCCCTAACACTCAACCCCCCCAAAAAAAAAAAAAAACTTGTGTATTAGTATAATTGCCAATTTAAATGAAATTTATTAAAAAAAAAAAAAAAAAAAAAAAAATATATATATATATATATATAATAATAAACATAAGGGTCAATCGATTCTTTTACACCGAGAGGCATCACTGGATCGAAGCCAAGGAATGCAGGTGCTTGTGGCTTTGGATACTTGATATACCTTTCCTGTAGCCCTGATGTGCCAGGGCGAATGGGTTTCCCCTGGCATCTCCCATAAAATTGGACTAGGTGGGTGGGGGGGAGCAGGAATGGCGAAACAACACCAAAAAAAAAAAAACAAATGTTTCCAAAGAAATCCACCAAGAGACCACATTTTGAAAGCTCTGACAGTGAGCCAGAAATAATATATCAAAACATCCCTACATATATGGTAATCCAATCAACTGAAGATATACCTATAACTAAAATATCACCTTTCAAAATCGAACAAATATTTTGAACAATTCTAATCGAAGTTCAAAAAACACAATGGAAGAAATCCTAAGATGGGAAACTTTCAACAACATCAAAATTAAAACCTCCCTCCACCAAACCTTAAATTCATCAGTGAAAAGTCTGAATTATCACTAAAATTAGACGAAATAAAAACAAATTTTGTAATAGATATCAAAAGAATAAGTATAAAAAAAAAAATGGAGAAACTATAAACACAAACACATACATATTAAATTTTAATATCCCAAAACCCCTAATGAAATTAATGTGGGTACATAAAAATAAAAAGACATATATACCGAATCCACTTAGATGTTTCAACTGTCAGAAGTTTGACACCACCAAGATAGGTGTTAGACCCCCAGTATGACAAAGACACACACTGACTGTCAGAAAACTAACTGCAAAAAAAAAAAAATCTGGAAAAAAAAAGGATATTTCAAAATAAAATATACTCAAAATATTACTTTTTTTCAAGGAAATTAATAAACACTGTGACATACACAGAAATATCAAAAAGACATATACCAAACCCAAACCAACAAGGACACCAAACATAACAAAATAATCAAATAACAAAAACCTGAAGTAGTTACTCAACTTATCAGATGAGAACTTAATCCAAGAAATGAAAACCATTATAAAAACAATAGGAAAACTCAAACACCAAAACATCAACAAACCAAGAGACACAAGCAAAAAGCCTAACAAGGAGAACCCAAAAGTACTCTCTTTGAAGTGGCCTCTACCACTAGGCCATCACAGACTTCACCCAATAGGGAAACTATAAAAGGAAAAAAAACCTTGATGGGCAGGAGCATAAAAAATAGATCAAGATCAACCTCAAGAACAAGAACTGCCCAAAAAATAAATAAATTTGAGGCATTGGAAATAATGGAAACGGAAGATTAAGAAAAAAACCCAATCAAGGAAAAAAATCTAACCTCAAAACAAAAACCAAAAAATTAAAAATTCCACAAGTAATCAAACATCAAAATATCCATAATGAATTGGTAGCCACAAATTAAAATATTGCTACCACTATTAATAGCTAAACAAAATCCTAACATCAAGACACATTCAAGAACCCCCCAAAAAAAAGCATGGGAAAAAAAAAAAAAAAAACATACTACTATCGGAACCATGACTAATAAAATCATCCAATGGAACATAAAGGTATGAAACCAAACATAAATGAACTACTTTTGATGAACCTATGTCCAATGATAATATGTTTAGGAGACTTTTCTGAAAAGAATGACAATGTAAAATTCGTAATTTTAAATTTTATAACTATATAAATAATAATACAGATAGAGGATCCATACTAATTTAACAAGATTCAACGCAGAATAGATCTTGACACAAATCTTCAAGCTGTAGCTGCATGCCACTTTACATACCATAACAGTTGCTCTATATACATACCCCCACATGATCAGGTTATGTTTTATTGCAGCAACTCCTAGGCCATTCATTTTATTGGGTGACTTTAACAGTCACAACATCATATGGGATGAAATAAACAAAAAAGGTAAAATGGAGATACGGGCACTCAAACATATATAAAACCAATTTAGTGGAATACCTCTGCCATTGATTTAACCATATGTGACCCATCTATCTATATGGACTACACTTGGCAAGTACATGATGATACTTGTTTTGATCACTTCCCCAATACCTCTAAATACACACAAAGCCTAATGGAAAAAAAAAATGCCCCGTTGGAAACTAGACAAAAGCTAACTGGGGAAAATTTGAAGAAAATGCAAAAAAACTAATACACAAAAGAGTCAAACAATGACACAATAGAGTATTTCACTGAAACACTGAACTCTATTAGACAGTGTTCCCAAGACTACAACTCAAATAAACGAAACAGACCTGGTTCAACAACAAATGCCAAGAAGCAATTTGAAAAAGAAGCACTAAAAAATTCCAAAAAGAACCAATAACATCCAATCTGATGGAATTCGAAAAGAATAAAAGCAGCAAAAAGAGAATGCTGGCAGAATTATGTCAGCAAATTGAATTGCTCAACTAAACCAAAGGCAATTTGGGAAATGATCAAGAAAATTATGGGCAAACAAGAAACAACACCAATAAAACACCTCTCAAAAAAGACAACTCCATAATAACAGATAAAAAAAGCTATAACAGAATTGCTTGAAACCTTTTTGCCAAAAAACTCATCCAGTCTGAATGGTAAAAAAGAACAATAACCATCAAAGAAGATGCAGAAAAATGTAAACTAAATTTTAAATCAAAAAATCTTGAAGATTATAATAGTTTATTGACACTAAGAGAATTGAAAGACTCTATAAAAAAATCCCATAATTTGCTGTAGGCCGGATTCCACTATGAGTTTTTAAAAAATTACCAGAAGAATCACTAAAATTCCTTTTAAAAATATTTAACAAAATATGGACAGAAGGAAGGTTCCCAGATATATGGAGAACAACAATGATACCAATTCCCAAACCAAAAAGAGATTATTTGGACCCACAAAACTATCGACCTATCTCTTGAAGTTTTGTGTAAAACAATGGAAAGGATAATAAACAACAGGTTGATTTGGCATTTGGAATCAAACAATCTTATTTCCAACTTACAATGTGGGTTCCGTAGTAAAAGGCACAATAGACCCTTAATACGCCTTGAAACAAATATTAGAGAAGCATTTATCAAAAGGAAACACCTTACAGCTATATTTTTCAATCTGAACCTGTTGAAATATGGAGTAATGAGGGACTTGAGTAACCTGGGTATAAGGGTGGTGGTGCCACAGTTTATTGATGGATTCTTATCTGAAAGAAAATTCAGAGTTCGTAATCGACTCTACACTTTCAGATGTGAAAAAAAAGAGGGTGTCCCACAAGGCAGTATATATTGTCCGTAACACTATTTAACATAAAATAAACACTATAATCAAGGAAATACCACCAGGAACCATGGATCACTATAGTGGATGACCTTATGATATATTTATAAATCAAAATATATCCACACAATTCAGCAGATGGGCAACAACAAATGGATTCAAGTTCTCTAAAACAAAAACAAAATGTGTCCATTTTTGTCACAAAAATTTTCCATAATGACCCTAGGCTGAAACTTTCCCAGTTGTAGATGAATACAAGTTTCTGGGGGTAATATTTGACAAAAACTAACATTTATTCCCCACCTGAAATACTTAAAAACCAAATGTAACAAAACATTACAACTACTGCGGCGTGGTAGCCCACACAAAATATCGAAAACTCTGTTATTATTGTATAGATCCCTAATTAGATCAAAATTGGATTACAGTAATTTTATATACCGTTCAGCCAGAAAAATCCTATTTAAAAATGCTTGACCCGATCTACCATGGAGGTTTGAGGTTAGTACTCAGAGCCTTTAGAACATCTCAGTCGAGAGCCTATATGCTGAGGCTAACGAAGCACCTGCAAATAGTAGAAGCCATAAACTGGCCCCTCCAGTACTATGTCAAATTAGGGTCATGCCCAGCAAATCCTTACAATAGTACCTTCTATCACTAAAATTTTCCAAAGGAATGAAAAAGCCATAAAACCCTTTGGACTTCGGATGGAAACAATTATAGAAGAAGCAGATGTAGATTTGACAAAAATCCATAAAACAATCATACCAGATATCACCTTGGACTATAAGAACCCCAAACATAAACTTAACCCTCTGTAAATACTACAAAAATAAAACCCACCCACTAATTTTCCAAGAGGAATTAGAGAAATTGAGATAAACTCACATGTCTTCACAGATGGATCTGTTAGGAAAAATAACAGGATGTGCAATATATAATAGAAAAATATTTAAAAAACATCCCAAATGACACCTCTATATTCAGAATTAAATGGCTCTTAACCTCATCTCAGAATCAAGGAACAACAAGTTCATTATCTTTTCTGATTCACTATCAGTATTAGAATCACTAAAAAACAGGAAGTTTGATAATCCATTGATAATAAATTAGAACACCTATCAAATGATAATGATATACAGATATGTTGGGTCCCAGGTCACACTGGAATCGGTGGAAATGACCAGGCAGATAAAGCAAGGTCTACTCTAAATATGACCATAGAAAAAATTTCAAAATACCATATTTAAAATGAAGATAAATAAATACATACTGCAACAAAGACAACAATGGAACAGCAATAGTAATAATAAATTACTAAAAATTAAACCTGAATTGGGAGAATGGAAACAGAGCTATAGGAAAAATTTGATATTGTCCAGACTTGAATAGGCCATACAAAGGACAAAACATTCCTACTTACTTGAAGCAAAGCAACAACAATGTGTTATGCATGCCAGACCCCCATACACAGTGAAACACATTCTCATTGAAAAAAAACGCTTTTATAGTGCAAGTAACATGAAGGAACTGTTCCAAAAAACTGACATGGATAACATAATATCGTTCCTGAAAGCAGTCAATTTGTACCAAAAAATCTAAAAACATAAAAAGTTGGGAAAAAGCAAGAGAATGTTTTCAACAAAATCTGATTCTTTCTGCATACCATTTCTCAAAAAGGAAGAAACTTCCTACAATATAATTCTCTACAAAAATTTTTTTGACAGAACCAGATTTTTCTACAAAACCATTTCATTTCTAAAACCTTTTTCAGCATGGCAAACCTCTCCGTTTGTGGAAATTCTATTATATTGGAAAATAATATTCCAATAATAACCTGATTTGACATTAAATGACTGAGGGAGATTGATATGTAAAACACAAACAAACAAACAAACAAATACTTTAAAAAAACCCTTCAATGAACTCAGAAAAACTTATCTGAAGTTGATGATATAAACTGTTGATTCTGAATCTCAGTCACTCTTATTTTAGAATACTCTTCAATGACGATATATACTGTTAATTGTAATTGTAGATTTTGATAAAAGATTTATTGCTTGAAACATTATGAGCCTCAAGCACAAAATATAAATATAACTTGAATAAATAGCAGTAAAGAAACTATATACAGGGTGTGTCAGTTTTTTTTAGGATATTTGTATTCAATTCAGTAAAGGACACATAGCTCATGAATGAAAAGTTTTATTTGAAAACAAATTGACTCAAATAATCTTAAGAATCATTTTATCACACCTGTTCAATGAATCCACCATAAACATTGATGACTGCTTCAGTACAGGAGTTGGAAGCATTAACATGCATGAATTGGATGATCTTTATCAATTTGGGACATAGTTCTGGCTATGATGAATTTGAGATATTTTATGGTATTATGGGAGCATTAACTGATCTCCCTCTTGACTATGCCCCATACATAGTTGTCCAGTGTATTCAGCCATGTTTTTGGAGAACATGATCATGGAGATTGTTATCCATGTTTGGGTTGTCTTAGCCTTATGAGCTGGTGAAGTGTCTTGTTGGAAGACATACAGTCTTCTGTTGCATATATTGTCTATTTACGATTTTACAACTCTCTCCAACATCTAATAGACAGCAGCATTTCAAACTTTAATACCAAGAGATTGGACTACCTTCAGGAAACAAGCTATTTTTGTATCACTATATCACGTTTTAAGGCAACAATTACAAAACACCTTTTTATTTTCCATGTCAACTTTGATGTCTGACATTATTTATCTGAAAAAGAAGGAAATAAAAATAAGTTAAAGACAAAGCTTTTGAAAGACATTTCCTCAAAAAACTGACATATCCTGTATATTATATATTAAAAAAACTTATTTTTTCTCCTTTTGATAAATTTTCCCTTATATCACACATTTTTCAAGAATCATCCAGGATTGTGTAGCAGTTCATAGTCTTCTCTTCAGTCAATATATTCTTAATAGATCAATATTTGAGCTAAGGTACAATATTATCTTGTACTTTTTGCATTACAGTAATTAGTTAAGTTTAAATGAAAAAAAAGAAAAAGTTAACATTGAGAGTAACCCACTTCAAAAACAAAAAAACTTGGTATCACAACAATATTACTAATCAGATACTATATTTCAGTAAGCTTACATGATTGACAAAAGCATAAAATGGATAATATTAGAGCAACATGGGCTAGTATTGTCTGAGTTATTGTTAACATGTATACATAAATGCATAAGTTATGTAAATTAGAATAAATAACATTGTTATAAATAAGTTTTATTTTTATCAAAATTCAGTAAAAGAATTAAATATGTATATTTAAAATTCACAAGAACAACAACAAACTTGTGACATGACAAGACTAAAAGTTTTTTCCGGGTAATGTTATCCTTTATATGAAAGAAGAATAATTTCTACTTCAAATAAGCAAAATGTTCTTTAATTTTGTATCTATAAAATGTGGTAAAATAAAATACCATAAGTTGCTAATATAAATATAATTTACTTTTTATAAGTAAGGAATATTTTTTCATGTTTCAATTACTGGTGTTTTCTTTTAATTCACAGAGCTGCTCTTGTAGTTAGAGAAGATAATCTTGGTCAAGTGTTGAATATTGTTAAAGGCTTTTCCATGGAACGTATTTATGAAATGCGTCGTCAAGTTCAGTTTTACTGGGAGAATTACTTCAAATCCATTAAAGATATTACACTAACTACCTTGCAAATAATTAATGATAGAATTTTCCCTTATGCTGCTCGCAAGTACGACCAGTGGAATGAACCGCCATCAGTGAGTATTCAGTTCATTTTTAGATAATCTTTTTTTTCATTACCTTGAGTTTTTTTTTTACAGCTTTTACATTCATTTTTTAATGACTTTTTAATGTCTGTTACCAGTACTATCTTTATTATATTGTAAGTAGAAAATATATACATTTTTAAATTTGGTTTCTCTTGAATCCTTTTGTAATAAAATTAACTCACTCTAGTTTTTAAATTTATTTTTTTCTAATTCTTAATTGCACATAATTCTCTTTTAGTTTATCTTCAGATCAAATTTGTTCTCTGCCAAACAAATTGAAATGTATTTCCTACAATATGTAAAAACTGTAGTGTTGCCATTTTATTATAAATGGTGAAATACTTGCATCTATTCAGACTTGCATAATTTCCTCAGAATATGCCTCATCTGACAAGACATTATTCAAATATCAAAAGAATGAGAGTGATACATGATTCATTATAGCTTATAAACTGTTTCTAAAATTAGATTTTATTTCAACTTTAAATTTTTTAAATAAGTCAAGAAGCATCAATTCTATTTTGCATTCTAAATACAAGTATTAAAGACTGGCCTTTTTAATTCAACCAAAATTTGATCAAAAGGTTTTATTCACATTTACTATTTGTTTTTCTGTTAATCTGTGGTACTTTGGTTGATGCATAAGTGTGAATCAGATGTGCTCTTTACTGGATTGGAACTGTTTAATCTAACCTTCCTGACCTCTAATTTCTGATAATCTGACCAAATAGCTTATCAAATTTGTCTCTAGAAGCATGAATGTTCAACCATATAACTTGAACCACTGTCTAAATGTTCCATGAATTTTATTTTCACTAAATGAAATGTTAATTTTTATGATTGTTTTCTTTTCTCTTTTGTGCTTTTCATGCATACCTGATTTTTTGTTATTTAGTAAAGAATCTTAGAAAGCTTTAACAAAATCCGAGTTTAATTTTGCACATTTTATCCAACTGTCTTTATTATTAGTAAATATAACAAATAATGGTTACTATTATTAAATCTTTTTACAGAATGTAAATTTAAGTAGGTACAGGAAAGCAAATTTAGTCATTATTTTTCTCTGCAGTAAAAAAATTAGTTTACAGATAGATGCATTATGATTAATTTGTTTATTTTATTATATTTTTTTTCAGTTTGGTGCTTCCAATCCACTTTTTTTGCCTTTGATAACTCCTCAGTCTCCTGGTTTTACTGCTGTTATTCTAACATACGACCGTCCAGAGTCACTTTTCAATGTAATCCAGCAGGTTGCACGTGTTCCAAGTTTAGCCAAAGTTTTGGTTGTGTGGAATAATCAAAACAAATCTCCTCCAGTCAGTAAGTTGTTTTATCCCCATTCTTTTGAATTTCATCACTTCAATATTTCTCCAAGATAATTTTTTGTGCTAATAATTGTCATGTTTATTTTAGGAAAGTTTATGACACTCTATGAAGTGGGAAAACATGCATTTTTGGAATTCATAAGACTAAAGTAATGTTTATGTTGATGCAATTAAACATGCACATGAAGGAAAGGGAACATTGAAATTTTAAATTTATTTTTTTTAAAAATATGTGTTTGAATATATGGTCTAGCCAATTCCATTTAGTTTTTTGGGGTTTTTTTTCATCACTTTTATTATTAAATATCCCACAATGTGATAATAGAAGATCTGCCAATAAAAGTGAAATAGTTTTAAGAAATAAGATGTAAATTTACTGTGGATGATCTAGTAATTAAAGGACTTTCTATATATTTTTGTCTTAGTAAATTGTTTTCTCTTTTGATTAAAGTAGCATTTTTTAAATCAAAATTATGGTCAAACTCCTTACTGTGAGCAATTAATACACCGTGTGTTGTTTTGTAAAAGATCTGTTTTGTGTTCATATAATATTTTATTTAAATTCCTTGAGGTTTCTTCTATGTATTCCTTGTGACAATTATTATAGCTGATAAAGTAAATTCTTCCTTTATGTTTAACTTATTATTTTGCTTTGTATTAATCCTTTTATTGTTTTAAAAGTAGTTATAATAAATTTTATGTTAAGCTTAGATAAATTCTCTTCAATTGTACTTGTGTTAGATTTGGTGGATAGAATAATATATTTTGATTTGTTATATTTATCAAATTGGTTCACTCTTCTATCTTGAAATATTTTACAATCCCTTTGTTTCATGTTGAATTTATACTTTAGCATTTGTATGCCCTTAAGAAATGGTGTGAGTGGGATTATTTTGAATCCAATGGTCAATCAATAAATTTAATTCCTTTGAAAAAGTATGAACCCCAAAACTCTTAATCTTGCAAATGTGTGCACAAATGCACTAAGAAGGAAAACTAGTTCAACCTCAACAAATCTAGCAACAAAGTTTTTACAAAACTAACAATTACTGAAGGAATTAATGTATGAAAAAATTTATTATATATATATATATATATATATATATATATACTGGACAAGAAATCAATGAAAAGTTAATGTATGAAAAAAAAAAAAAATATATATATATATATATATATATATGTATACTGGACAAGAAATCAATGAAACTATAGTTTGGCAATTAAGCGTAACGCAATAACAAATCCCAGTTGGGATAATAAAAACATCACCAAGAGATTCCTACTGTTAATATAAGCATTTCTCAAAATTGATTAAGTACAGATGTACTATTCTCCATTAAATATCTATGGATAAAAAATTGTTATTCAAAAAGAGCAAAGTTGGTGAAAGTAATTCCCCATGGGCTGCAGAAAAATATTCTGTTGGCTGCATGAAGCCTGCAGGCTGCATGTTTGAGGCCCCTGGTGCTCTAAATAGTGGAATTACTACTTTACTACTTTTCTTTCAATATTTCTTCTATCAGTGTTAATCTTTCCTGCCAAGTAATGAGTTTATAGTCAATAGGATGATGCTTAAGTTTGATATTAAACCTTACGATTGTTATTTATTCATTTGTTACTTACCTTACATTGATTTTTTGCAGATTGGCCAAAAATTAACAAACCATTAAAAGTTGTAAGAACACGGAAGAATAAATTAAGCAACAGGTAAAACAGCTTTTTTGATTTCTCAAATTATACAAAAAATTCTTTTTGAATGTTATTTTGTACAATATTCATCTCTGCACTCTTTACACTGTCATTTTCTCTATTAGTTGATATTTCTATATACTTGAGTTTGTTATTAGGCTTGGCCACAGGATATTCAATGAAGATAATCAGTGATGGCTGATATAGTATATTAGCTAACAATTGTTCTATAACAAAGGCACACAGTTTTATTAAAATGTTAAGCCAAAATATTTCTTTAAATACAAAATAATAAATATTAAAAATTCATATAATATAGATGTATTGCTATATGAGTAATGACAACATTTTAGAGAAAATGGAAACAGAAAGGACACTTACATTTACCATCAGAAATAGACAGTTGAAATTTCTAGAGCACATAATGAGGAAAGACGGCTTGGAAAATTTGATACCCAGGACATATTTAAGACAAGAGGAATGGGAGTAAACCATGCATAACCTACCTAGTGAGATTGAGTAAATGGATGGCAGAACAGGGTTTAGGAGGGATAACAAAAAGATAATTTATTAAGAGCTACAAAGAACAGGTAATTTTGAAGACCCATGATTGCTAATGTCCCGAAAAGACATGGCATATGGAAGAAGATTGAAAAACATGGCATAACTTTGTTACTAAGCATTTCCAGTTTGAGAACTTACAAGATATGTGCCTATTATTATTATTATTGTAACAATTTGCATAAATTCTAGAGAAAACCTTTAAACTGATAATTAAAATCATAAAGATTGTATAATACAGTTATGATTTCATTTTTCCTATAGTTCTATAATAAATGAAAGAACTGTTAATAAAACGATATGTTGGATCTATTTTGCTTTTTCAGAAATTTTGTGGCTTTTTTTTTAATCTCAAATTTAATTTTGATCTCTTTCAGATTTTTCCCTTATACTGAAATAAAAACTGATTGTATCCTTGCATTGGATGATGACATTGTTATGTTGACAGCTGATGAGCTTGAGTTTGGATATCAGGTAAGTTTTTAAAACATCTGAAATATTAATAATTGCATGCATATTGTAATAAATTTGTGATAAGTGTTAAATATATTAATGAGTAGTACAATTCAAATAGTTTCTAAATAAAATGTTACTTAAATTTTCTAAATCCATTTTTCCTTGACCGTGATAACCAAAGAATAACACTGTATTTATTAATCATCATGACCAAGAAGTACAATATCAACATAGCTTAACTTATTGAGTCAACAACTGATGTATAATTCTATATTCAAATCTAATAATAAAATTGTCTAAATTGGTTATCATTAAAATTTGGAAATATCTGGACATGTTTTTTCTTTTTTAAACTTCTCTATTTTTCTTGTTAGATTATTAATTGTCATTGATTAATTTTATTCATTATTTCTTCTTGAAATAAAAATCTGATGCCATCATCTTTTTGTTGCTTATGATTTTACTTGGTTAATTCATTTTTTATTAATACTTTCTGTTTTAAGAAATCACTCAATAAAGTCTTAAAGTTTAACATGAAAAAGATATCAGATACTAGCTCTTCTCTCTCAAGGAACATAAAAGCTTTACTTTAAAATCCCAAAACATCCATCATCATCATCATCATCATCATCATCATAGCTGTTTTTTTTGTTGAGGCAGGACTGGGATTAATATTGCACAAAGCAAGGTGGGTCCTACCTGACAGAGGATCTCAGTTTACCTTTCCACATACACCTGTCAACATACTAAGTGTGTCATAATAATTTGAGTCATGGTTTTACAAAGCCAGATGCTCTTCCTGACACTCACAGTAGTCCAAGTACACCAAGTGTTTTTATCGAGAGACCATTTCTAAAAAAGTTGTCATTCATTCTTGGGGCTCCATCCTAGCCTTTTTATACATACATACATACATACATATATATATATATATATATATATATATATATATATATATATATATATTTTTTTTTTTCTCACTGGTAACACAACTCAGAGTTTCATGCACAACACAGCCTTTAGGTGCTGAGTTGTCTCTACTTAACATCTGAAGAATTTATTGTATATTTATTAATATATATTTAATAGCTGTGTTATATTACATCAAGCACTATTTTATTAATACTAACACTCAATGTGCAATATATATATATATATATATATATATACACACACACACACACACACACACACACACACACACTGATTGTTGGTTCCTATAAGAAGCTTATCTGCCCTTTGACAGGTCTTGTTTTTGATCAAGATAGTTGGGGAGCTGGTTTCGATGCCAACCACCCATCTATGTGGCAGGTTGTACTGGGTTACACATTACCAATAGCAAGCCTAAGCCTGACCTGGCCAAATGAATGAAGGAAAAAAAAAAGAAACTGTTTATAATTATAAGAGATTCAAATATTTCCCTGCCCTCCATTCTTTTAACACTTGTGCTGAAGCTTATAAATTTTAGAGAAATCTTTTTCTTATGTGAATTGTCTGCACAACTACTTTCTATAATTTTTGTCAAGAGAAAAATTATATAAAAATTTGCCATAGAATTTATAATTATGTCATTATTTGATATTTGTTTTCTAGGTTTGGCGAGAGTTTTCTGACCGACTTGTTGGCTTTCCTTCTCGTGTTCATTTGTTAGACAATTTTACACAAAAATGGAAATACGAATCAGAATGGACCAATGCTATTTCAATGGTACTTACTGGAGCAGCTTTCTATCATAAAGTAAGTTCAAATTCATTCTCAACTTTTTCTTATTTCTTGTGGATTTATTTACAATAATATTTCTAACGTCTTCATTTAACAAAATAAATCTATTAATATAATTGATGATCTCATCACTACAGGTAGAGTTTATAAAAAAAAATGTATGTTCACATAAAACTTTTTTCAATTCAACTTGCTTCACTTGTTGATGAATTTTCAAAATCATAATTTAAATTTTGAGTATTAAGTTTATTTTTAACAATTAAATTTGTTAATTGAAAAACAAGTATTATTAGAAATAATAAAATAAAAATTGGTATGTGTGTAAAGTTTCAGATTTTTTAATAGAATAAACAATGACAAAATAAGAAATATTCCTTTAGAATTCACAGTAAGATATTACTCAGCATGAGAAGTTTATAAACTCTGTGTGTATATTATATATGGGTGCATGGCTAGGTGGTTAGAACATTTGTTTTCTGACCATGAAACTCTGGTTTGAATCTCGAATGGTCAGTTTTGCAGGAAGGTGACTTATTGATATTATTATTTTGGGGAAGCAATCCCAACTTGTGGTACCTTTGGAAACTACTAGAAAACTATAACACAGGTTGACCCAAGCTTTGTGAATGAAATTAGATAGCCAGAACTATTTGGAAGCCATTGATAGCTGTGCTTGCATGAAGTCACAAATCATTGTGATTGAGGGTTTGAGCATACTGGTGTTGTTCAAAATGTTGACCATTATAAATTATCCCCTCTCTCCTATAAACTAACTAATCATAATTGCAGAGCACAGGTGGGGCCTGTCTGTTGAACAGACACAGGCATCTGTAACAGGAATTGACTAGCCCCCACCCCCAAAAGATGGATGTGCTTGTAAAATGAGTAGTTGGGCATATATATGAATATATGTGTGTTTATTTGTACATGTGTGTTTTTTATATATATATATATATATTTTTTTTTTTAAATAAATTATTTTAAATTTCAATTTAACTTGTAATTTTTTCTTTTGTTTTCAGTTCTACAATTATCTTTATACATATTCAATGCCTGGAAATATCAAAGTCTGGGTTGATGATCATATGAATTGTGAAGATATTGCTTTCAATTTCCTCATTACTAATGCTACAGGAAAATCTCCTATCAAGGTGACTCCACGTAAGAAGTTCAAGTGTCCAGAATGTGTAAATAATGAAATGTTATCAATGGACCTTACACATATGGTGGAACGATCCGAATGTATAAATCAGTTTGTTGCTACTTATGGGACTGTTGCTCTCCGAACTGTAGAGTTCCGTGCAGATCCAGTTCTTTATAAGGATAACTTTCCTTCAATTTTGAAAAGATTTACTGATATTGGGAGTTTATGATATATACAAGATTATGATACAGTTTCTATCCCTTTTTTTATATTTGTTTTAATTATTACATCAATCCATCTAAATTCTTTCATATTTCAATTGCTGATAAAAGCAGAAAGGTCAACACAATAATTCAGAAAAACTCTGTCATGTAATTCATGTCAGTTTTGTATGGATAAAATCATAAATTTTATTTCATAAAATTATGTAAAATCTCTAAAAAATCTTTACATTTAAATTTATACTTTTATTCTATATTCTCTCCAGCTGATCAGCATAACATAAACATATATATAAACCATTTCTAATAGATTATTCATTGGATTCATTTTTATTATAAAATACACAAGCATTTGAAAGTTTTGATTTATTTTTAAATATTTATTGCAATTTTCTTAACATTGTGCAATATTTAAACTGAGAAAAAAATAGATAATATTAGCATAACAAGACCAATGAGAAAAGAACTTGCTTTATCTTGGTAAAAAAAAACAAAAAAACTCCATTTTCTCAGGGTGGACTGGCTAACTCATCCAGTTTCATATAACATTTTTATTAATTTTATTAAATTTGTTTTAGGCATTTTTATTTTTTATGTTTTTTGCTGCAGAAACTTCTAATAAAGTAAATATAATTTCTTTTCTTTTATTCTTTGTTATTTTATATTTTGTTCCTGTTATAAATGTATCCTCTCTTTTCAAAGTAATCTCTTACATTCTTAGCATCCTGATTATGCTTAATATGTTCATTGAAATGAAATGCCTTAAATATTTCCTTATTAAATGTAATATATTTTTATCAGTTAAAAATTCCATAAATGATCTTAGATATGCATATAAATTTAACTTTATTGATAATAAATCATGTAAACTTAGTTATTAACTTTGTTTTATTTTTTTGTTCACTGTACAGATTGAACATTGTATAGTGATGCTTCCATTTTTACTTAACAATATTTCGATCAGAAAGCAAGACTATTTAATAAATGCTTCACAACAAAATGAATTGAATTGTACTAATTGAATGATACTAATTACTTGTTGATAGTTCTTTTATTAACTTACTAATCTTAATTTTTCATGTAAATATATTTTAAATATCAATGCGTTTCATGATATTGTATTAAAAATATGGTTTTAATGCTTTTGACATTTTAGTCTAGAATATAATTTGAAAATAGTTGTGCAAATTAGAATTAAAGTTAAAAGCAAAACTGTTAAAACTTTTTTTTTAACTATGGAGTATTATTGTTTTCAAGTGCACTTTCATCAAAGTAGAGCTTTTAGTGTAATTTGTATTGCATCTATTCTTAAAATGACACAACTTAAAAAATGGAATCTGAATTCTGTCAATCATCAGTTCACTGTTTACTGAAATTATCATTTCTTGAACATGTTTGAAATTTGAAAAACAATTTTCAAGGTAATGTGTAAAAGGTTTTCCAGCTCCTAATAAAACTGACTTTCTTTTATCCTTTGATTCTGAGTCATTTAGAACAATAACAACTCTTTTTCATCCCATCATAGCTACAATCAAATTAGTATCAGGTAAGTGATGAATGATATTATTCCTCTAAAAAATGTATGTTATAAAACAAAAGCTTATTGAGTCAAATTTACAATTATTTCTTGTTTCAAATTTTTAACAGGAGTTGTGGAGTTTATTTTATTGCTATATTTTATTATCGAAATAACTTCTGTTTTAGTGCTATGATGAATAAGCCTGCTTTTCAGACCATTAGTTTAGCTGTCTTTTTATTTTATTTTTTCCTGGTCTGCTCTGCTTTAATGGCCTTGTGTCAGACTAAAGTAGGTGAATATTTCATATAGATCCTTTTTCAGTTGCACTTATATGTGAAGCATATAGATAGTTAATTCTGCCACATAAATTTATAGAATGGTATAAATGAAAGAAATCAGTTGATAAATTTTCTGCTCCATTTCATATTTCATATTATCTGTACGTTAATATTTTATAAATAAAACTGAGACAGGCAAATAGATGTGTTATAAAATGTAATGTAAAGAAAACTCTGATTTCAAACCTCTGCTGTCTTGTTGATATATTGAAGCATGGAAAAGTTTATAGGAATAAATCCAAACAGAAAAGCCAGAATGCATTCTCTAAGGTATTTGGCTTTTAATGTTGAACTTCTGCAGCCAATCCAACACCAAATGTTGTGCCCTGCATTCTCTTGGATCACTTATTATGCAGGACCTTTCTATCAGGTGGCTCATGTAGTGGCAGTTTGACTGAGAGATGGGTGTGGAGAAGGCTTCCATACACCATCATTCAGGCTTATGCCTTGAGGTCACTTCAGTCTCACCGCTCTTTATTGATCAAGCCAATACTATTATCTTATGATATAGATGCATACCTGAAACTGAGAAAATGTGAGAGTGTTTTCTGTTTGACAATGTCCTAGCAGATAAAAGTATTAGTTAAGTGCATTTACTTACCAGATGATATAGAGTTCAAGCTTTGGTGAAGCAATGAATGTCATATAGTTTGATTCAGTGGTAAAAAAAACAAAACAAAATAGCAACACAACAACAAAGAGACTTAACTGATATGAGACATTCCCAATACAGACAGTGAAATTAGAACAATTTACCTGCTCAATTAAATAAAAGGTTTGGTTTGAAATTTTCAGAATGTTGCCAAATATGACAAACATTTGAAGAAAACCAAAAAATACAATAGTTGAAATACTGATTATAATAACCAAGATGACACTAATCTCAATAGGTCAATGTATAATAAGTGATTTTTTTTCTTTTATCATATGTCTTTCAATAAACACTGAGTCCCCTTGATAAAACCACAAATATAAAGGAATGATTCAACACTTTCAGAGTTTCTGCCTGATAAACATATGTTGCAGATTTGAATCAGCCTACAGCAAAGAAAAAGGCGAGAAAGGTTTTTAAATATAAAAATATAAAATATTTTTATTTTTGTGTTTTTACAACTAATTTTTTCTTAGCATGTATGAGTGTTAAAGCTCCTTGTTTGTAGTTGTTTGTTAAGATGAAAAGAAATGTAATTTTTTTATGTGCATGTTTGAAAAAAGAGACAAAAAAAAAAGTGAGGGGAAAGTGTAAGTGTCATGTAGCTTGGTGAGGAAGACAGGTGAATGAATAAGGGAATCTCTTTGAAGCCATGTGCATCATAAACTGCTGCTTTCTGTATCCATCTCTTTTCCTTACTATCTTGTCTGGCCTTTGTGCCTTTGCTTATATCCTCTTCAAAGGGATCATGAGGCATGTTTTTTATTGTTGGCGGGAATGCAACCCATTGGTTGAAAAATGTTAAAAAAAATTTTTATTTTCAAAGGATTCATTTATTATCCGGAAGGATGCATGAATCCTCTGACTTGGGAACCATTTTTTTGTCATTCGATGATTGATTGTCTTGGTGTTTATTTCTGTCTTCACTTTGCACATATGAAAGATGTCCACACAAATTATACTTTGTGCTTTTCAAAAGTGAGAGCCAAAGTTTGTTTTTTTCTTTCTTTTTTTTAATTCATTGAAAAGAATTAATTTTTAAATCAAATTTTGAAGAATGTTCAAATTCCATTTCTATGACCTTTTTGGTACCAACTGTTTCTGCTTATCATTTAGTTTATTTATGAGATACCTGATCGAATTTATTCTCAGTGATAATTCCTGAGAACTGGAGTAAACAGTTTTTAAAGTTGATGGCAGTTGTATAGGCCAGCTTCTCTGGCTAAGATGCTAACAAAGCTTTTTATTTTATTTTTTTTGTATGCAAGAAAAATGTGTTTGAATTTTGAAGGTATTATCTACAAAATAGAGTAGTTAGGTTGTTTATGGCCCAAGCACATGTGCATGGGTTTGTTGAATTTGGTGAAAACATTCTTTCTAATATAAGTTTCCACACTAGTGATTTTATTATGATTGCAGCTTCATACAGCATTTTAAATCCTGACATCATTAATCCTTTAATAAATGTTTAAAATGTCCAATCTGTGAAGTTCCTTTGCTTTTTATGAGTCTAAATAACAATAAATATAAGTTTAATGTAAAAAGACCTTTTTTTTTTTTAAATATTTAATACTAATCATTTTTGTTTTTCATATAAATCTTGATTTGTCTTTAAAAGAACAGTGACTTAATGGAGACATTGGTCATTGACTCTTTTGAGTTCTTCTGCGCTTTGATATGTATTATTTTTTGTCCTACAGTGTTATTTATTACTCATCTTGCCCCACATGGAGAAGGGCAGGAGGAAACAGTTTTGCCACCAACCATCCAACAGATAAAAAATAAAATCTATTTATAGGCATTTAACCAATGAGAAGGCTGTTCAGTAGGAAAAACTTTTTACATTTTTTTCCTTTAATTCTTTAAGCCCAGAAATTGTCTCAGTCTACATCGAAAATTCTAAGTCAATATTGAAAAAAACAAGCACTATTTGTGAAGTGAGAGTGATTAAAATATGAAAATTAAATTTATTTATTGGGGGGGGGGCTTTATTTAATAGAATTAGTAAAAAAAAAGGTTTTAATGTTTTTTTTACATTAATTAATCATGTTAAAGTCATTCTCTGCTAGATTTTAAGATTAATAACAATTATTTAATGATTGCTTTAGTCACTAAATTGCTGAGAGCTGGATTAGCATTTAAAAAGGGTTCAGATCTGATGCTTAAACATCCAGCATTGGGATTTGTGTCTGGATAAGAAGGGAACAGTTAAAAATTAAAATTTTACAATAACTGAAAAAAATTAGTAATTTTAAAAGTTATTAATTTATATTGAGTTTAAAGTAATACAAAAACTTTGTCAATGTAAAAAAATTTTGTTTTTAATTCAGTTTAAAATATCTTCAAAAGTTTGTGAATTGAGGAAATCAATTTTATTTCTTCAAAATGCCAAGGAATCAGAGATAAAACAGAGAAATCAGAGGTTTTGTGATATGAGGTTTTGAAGTTCTGCAGAGTTTGTGATTTGAAGAACTCAATTTTCAGCTTGAATTGGAATTT